ACGGGTTCCAAGACCGTCAAAAATTTGATCCACAAAATCAAACTACACCAAAATTTATTTGGCATCGAGCAAACAAAGCAAACATAGGATACAATGGAGCTATGCCAGGTAATTTCTACCTAATGTTAAATTGAAAGGCTTCTAAAAGCAACCAAAAAAGCAAACCAATATAGATTTTTATTTTTCTATTAATATTTGAAATTTATCTCACAAATGTAATTTGCACTCTTTATTATTAATACAATCAAATTATATATAAATGAAAATACTAAAAGTTACCTAAAAATGAAAATTACAGATTTTCCCGCGTGGCGTCTTTACACGATTCCTTACCTGGTAATAACCAATAGCTGATTAGTTTACTGAAGCTAACCTATCCAGTTATTGATAAGATCCTTTATCCTCCACCTTATATACAACCTAAAGAATCAAGAAACCAAAAGAAAAAGAAAAAAAAACTCAAAACTAAACCTTAAGGCTTTGACCTTTACCCTTCTACTGTTTGCCTTCTATTGTAATTTTTCCAATATGGAAACTGTATCTATTTGTCCGTGTGAAACATCTCATCATCTTAGGTTTTGTGGGGTCAATTTTGAGCTTTATCTAGGTTGTTGGAATATTCCAATTTCTTCAAGTGATACATGTTGTATTTTACATAGTTTTGGTATACAGGTTCTTGATATGTGTTAATTAGTGATAGAGCTCAAATATCATGTTAATGATGATGTGATGATGACGATGATCATGATCACATGACTTGCATATTAATACTTCAGGGTCTGTTTCGTTGCACATATGAAGATCAGTTTGATGGGATCAGCTAGAAAGGTGCAATTCAGAGAGGATTTGTTGAACTTCCCACAGCTTCATACCAAGCTCAAGATGCAAATCATATGATCATTCTCATCATCATCATCATCATCATCAAGCCATAGTTTTGTTATATTGATTTATTATTACTGTGCAAAACTTGGCTATTAATTTGCCTCTATTCTCTGCCCTATCAAGTTCATGTTTAGGTATGTTGGTCCTTAAATTATGGCTTCTCAAAAAATTTATAGTTCCTTTAGTTTTATGAGTGTCTTTCTGTTCTTTCTCTTAAAGAGGACTAACTCTGATGTTCTTGATTTTTGTTTTGGTGCTGGATTTTTCGTTCTGCTCTATGTTGTTGGAATCCAATCTTCGATTAATCATCAAATTGGTAAACATGAACCGAGATTGAGAAAAGAGTAATGAAGACGAGAAGAGTAATGAACAAGAGAGAGGAAGATTTTTCTTGTCATTAAGAGAGAAGACAAATGATTTAGTATAATGCATTATATGAGTTTGGGCCTCTAATCTCTTTATCCCATAAGTGTTAATGGATTTGGTTAGATTACAAAACCATAGGTTAAAAGTAAAAAGCATACATATATGGTAGCATGTATAATGAATCTTATCTAAGAGAGTTTAATCAAACACAAAGTGGCTAAACCTTGTTAAGCTAATATGGTAGCAGAGCTATCGGATCTTGGTGTTCCTAGAGTTTGAAGAATCTGCGCAAGAAACATGGAATACTTTCTCACAGTGAAGAAGAATGTTACCTAAAGCGTAAATAAGAGACTCAGTTCTTCTTCAAGAAATTTAGACCAAGAAGAGGGTGCGTTGCTTGTTGAAGATCTGGGCATCTTGAGAAAGATTTTTGGACCAAACAACATCAAGCGAGGCAAGCACAAGAGCAAACCTCATGGCTAGAGAAGAGAGACTATTTACAACAATATATAGATAAATCATTTCAAGTGCCTATTGATAATAAACAATAGCCTCAGGCAGTGGCGGATCCGTAATTAATTTTTGTCTGGGTCAGAGATTATTTTTTCTGAACATGTAATAGAACAGAAATTACCCAAAAGTGTAAGATGGGAGAATCAAAGTTGAATTCAGGTGGGTCACTAATGTGAAATTTACCAACTGTGAGCTACTATCTTCTTGAAGATTACTTTGCATTAGGTAATACAATTGCTTATTTTCATTTATTTTTAGTCTCTTCTCAGTGATCTTTTCTCAGGGTTTGCGTTTTCTTTCTTTCCTTATCTTGTTATTTCTTCTCCAATCTCGAGTTCGATACCAAATAACATATCTACATGTAGACTCTTTCTATCTTTGTGATAAGTCAATTTCTCTTTTAGAGAAAAATTCTATAAAAATCATAAATATTTTTTTCGATTTAAAATACAATTTTTGGACTCTGAAATTAATACACCAGCTAGTTAATAAAAATTTTCCATTAGTGATACTCCAACTTAATTATAAATATTATTTATTTAACACCGTCGACTTAATGTTAAGTTAGCGTATGTTATATTTTCTATATTTTAATAAAATTCTAGTATTTAAATAAATATAAATAAAAAAGGAAAAAAAATTAATCAGAAATTTCAACTGAAAAAATAAAAAAATGAAAAGAAAATTAATATTAAGAAATGAAAAATTAATATTTTTATTTTGGATTTAAAATTTAAAATTAATAAAATATACAAATATTATACATACAATATGTTATTTTAGTAGTAACTGATATTTATTTTATTGAGAAAACCAAAGATAATTTTTTTATAATATTATATCAATTTATGTATTTACATGTGTATACAATTCATTTACCAAATATATATATTTCAAAATACCTATGCTTCGCATATAACCCACATTACAAAAAATTGTAAGGTGTGTCTAGTTTGTGTTCATTGCCAAAAGTTCAGGCAATACCCATTATAGTGTGGTAATCCAGATTTAAGTTGCATAGAAACACTGTAGAAGCGCATCTGCAAAAAAGTTTCTCAATATTGCGTTTCTTCTACAAATTAAATGCCTCGAATTCCAAAAAAAAAAAAACTGATCAAAACAGATACGATTAATGCTCAAACTGTGAGTAAACAAACGTCAAAAGAACTGTAACAATGTTAAATGCAATGGAAGGTCCTCCCTTCGAAATTTCAAAAGAGCAAATTGATTACTCTTTGAAAAATTACAATGTTAATGCAAATAAACTATTTGGAAACATGAAACTTGTTGTTAATTGGTCGATTTTTTTAAAGAGTAGTGAAATGGTTTTGCTATTGAGAAAGTGGACTACTTGACTTGACTTCATTTTAGCAAAAGTTTTGCATCTTTTTCTATGTTTATCCTCTATATAAGTTGCATTACTACCACCATAGTTTGCATATTTTGTTCCTCCATTATACTCACTTTCATGAAAAATATGAGATTCTTTCTTTTACTTGCTTTTCTCGGTGCTCTCATGCTACTTGATGAAGCATCGTTTTACATGCGTTGCTGGAGTTCAAGTCTCAAGTTTCTGAAGGCAAAAGAGATGTATTGTCCTCATGGAACAACTCATTTCCTCTCTGCAAATGGAATGGCGTTACATGTGGCCGCAAACACAAAAGAGTTACCGTTATGGACCTTGGAGGATTCCAATTAGGCGGCGTGATATCACCATCTATTGGTAGTCTTTCGTTTCTCATATGGCTTAATCTCTCCGATAACTCTTTTGGCGGTACCATCCCTCATATAGCTCTGTTTCTATTAATGATTCTGCATCTAGGTTTTGTTTAGATTTCGATTTGTCTATGAAATTTATGTTCTTTTATTGGTGGATTAGAAGATTGATTTCGATTTGTTTCTGAAATTTATGTGTTCTTAAATTTTTGTCAGCAATATTCACTGCCAACGGAGCAGAGGATACTTTGATCCCACTTGGTTTGTCACCTTCTGCTAGAACCGTGACCTAGACGTAAGTAAAGTAAGCACAAGTGACAAGTCTCACGCATTACGTCACTATGCTCAGAATAACAATCAAATTTAGCTTTCTTCATTAGTTACACTTAGAGCTTTGGTATTACTTGAGAAGATCAAGTTGTTATCTCAACAGATATGTCTTTAAAAGAGTTGGATTATTATTAATTTTTGGCTTTTGATGATTTCCAAAGTACAGAATTGGAAACGTTTTTGTTTCCCAAATTGAATCTAGTGGACGTGCAGTGGTCTAGAACATATTCTTCTTCTCCAATTCTTAAGAGTTCGATACCAAATTAACATATTGTGGGGTTATAATTTTACGATTCAGTGTGTAAAGTGTAAACTTTTCTTTGCAAGTCTTTGATGGAGATCCTATTACTTCGATCCGATTCCACTTTCAAAGGAACACACAGGTTTATCATGAGACTTGTCTTCCAAGCATCAGCTCACTCTATTCACTCTATTAAATGTTCAGGTCTGTAACAGACCTGAACATTTAATCAAGTTTCTAGACGGTCTGGTGCGCAATAAGATTTCCTCTATCCGGCTTCTAGACCCAAGCAAGCTAGAAGATGGTCTTCGAATGTGGTTCGACTCGAGAAACTATGAATTACATGTGTTGCTTCTTGTCGTTGCTCTAATTTCTATTTTCCTTTTCTAAAAACATTCTTAAGGATACATACAATGTAATGGTTTTTTTGCTGAATAAATTTTACATTCATTCAAAAAAAAAAGGTCTTCGATGGTTTCTTTTAGTATTTATATATATATATATATATATATATATATATATATATGTAATTATTTAAATTTTAGTATTTGTTATTTGCTCTACTTTTAACGAATATCAATTTTTAGTCTTTGATTTCATGATTTGCTTCGTAAAACTACGGATATCTGGATTTTTTCGAATCAAATAGAACCGAAAAACAAATCGAAGCGAATCTAACGGATATTTTGCCTACCCTATATCCTCTGATGTCAGTCATCCTCCTTGAATCGGTTTGAATCATACCTCTTGGGACAGTTACGATCTTTAATTTATTTAATGATCTAAAAATGCCAATAAAATCCAGAACAATTATTCGAAAAATAAACGACGATCATGCTCTGTTTGGTTGGTGATAGCTCTTTGCTAGCTAAAAAACACGAAACTTGGTCAATTTTTCTACCATGTGACTAAAGATGTCTATATATTTTGGATTCATTCATGCAGTTTTCTATGTGGCTGTGAGCCAATGTATTTTCCTTATTTCTTTTAAGTTGAATTACCACTACAACAAGATAAAGGCATTTTGCATTTTTCTCCGTCTCTTATCACTCTCCTGCAAAATATGAGACTGTTTCTTTTATTCTCTTACAGTGCTCTCATGTTACTTGATGCATACGGTTTTACCGATGAAACTGATATGCAAGCGTTGCTCGAGTTCAAGTCTCAAATTTCTGAAGAAAAAATAGATGTCTTGTCCTCATGGAATCACTCTTTCCCTCTCTGCAGCTGGACTGGGATTACATGTGGCCGCAAGCACAAGAGAGTGATTGGTTTGGACCTCAAAGGATTGCAATTAAGCGGCGTGATATCACCATATATTGGTAACCTTTCGTTTCTCATATGGCTTAATCTTTCTGATAACTCTTTTGGTGGTACCATCCCACAAGAAGTTGGAAACTTGTTTACACTTGAATATTTGAATTTGGGCTCAAATATTTTTGAGGGAGGGATCCCTGCCCGTCTCTCTAATTGCTCTAGATTATTGGAGCTTCAGCTAGATTCAAATTATCTTGGAGGAGGTGTTCCTTCAGAGCTAGGGTCATTGACGAAGCTTGTTGATTTATATCTTGGTGGAAACAACTTGAAAGGGAAGCTCCCTCCATCTCTAGGAAACTTGACATCCCTCAGAAGTCTTACCATTGAAAATAACAATATGGAAGGAGGAATTCCAGATAATATAGCTAGATTGAATCAAATGTTGGTACTTGATTTAGGAGTGAACAACTTCTCAGGTGTTTTTCCTCCCCCCATCTACAATTTTTCCTCACTTAAGTATTTATACATCTCTGGTAATCATTTCTCGGCTTTCTTAAGATCTGATTTTGGTAAGCTGCTACCAAACCTAGTAGAGTTAAATATGGGACAAAATAGTTTCACAGGAGTCATTCCAACAACACTTTCCAACATCTCTCAAAAGTTGGCGATCAATGATAACAATCTTACAGGAAGTATTCCTCTAAGCTTCGGAAAATTACGGAATTTGCAATGGCTATTTCTTTTTAGCAATTCTTTGGGAAGTTACTCTTTCGGAGATCTTGACTTTCTGGTTGCTTTGGCTAACTGCACCAAACTAGAGAAATTAGAGATTAGTGATAATAGGCTCGGAGGTGATTTACCTATCTTCATTACGAATCTCTCCACGAACCTCTACACTTTAGACCTTGGATACAATTTCATCTCGGGAAGCATTCCTCGTGACATTGGGAATCTCATAAGCCTACAAAGCCTTGTGTTGCAAGAAAATATGTTGACAGGCGCATTCCCAACTTCCCTTGGTAAAATTTCTAGGTTGGAGGGAATAAATCTCGATTCAAATAAAATGTCAGGAAAAATACCATCTTTTATAGGCAACCTCACTCGGTTGGACAAATTGTATTTGTTCAACAACAGTTTTGAAGGAACCATTCCTCTGAGTCTCAGTAACTGTACTTCTTTGCGGGAGTTAATCATTAGGTCTAATAAGTTGCATGGGACTATTCCTCAGGAAATTATGCAAATTCAATCTCTTCTTCGCCTAGACATATCACGTAATTCCTTGACCGGCTCTCTACCAGAAGATGTTGGACGACTTGAATATCTTGTCTATCTATTTGTTGCGTATAATAAACTATCTGGACATCTCCCACATTCCTTGGGAAATTGTCTCGCGATGGAAACACTTTCGTTGCAAGGAAACTATTTTGATGGAGCCATTCCGGATATAGAAGGGTTAAAAGGTGTTAAAAGAGTTGATTTCTCGAACAATAATCTCTCTGGGACTATACCTGCATATCTTGCAAACTTTTCTTCATTGGAGTATATTAATCTATCCATCAACAATCTCGAGGGAAGTGTGCCAACTGAAGGGAAATTTCAGAATGCTACTATAGTATTAGTATTTGGAAACAAAAATCTTTGTGGAGGCATCAAGGAATTGAAACTAAAGCCATGCTTAAGGGAAGCTCCACCGATGGGATCAAAGCATTCTTCTCGTTCAAAAAGAGTTGTGATCGGAGTAAGCATAGGCATGGCTTTGCTTTTTCTGCTGTTCGTAGCTTCAGTTTCTCTACGTTGGTTCGGAAAAAGAAAGAAGAACCAACAGACTAATAATCCAACATCTTCCACATTGGATGTCTTTCATGAGCAGATAAGTTATGGAGAGATCCGAAATGCGACTGATGGCTTCTCTTCGAGTAATCTGATTGGGTCAGGCAGTTTTGGTACCGTGTTTAAAGCTGTGCTTCCTACCGAGAACAAGGTTGTTGCAGTGAAAGTTCTAAACATGCAAAGACGTGGAGCAATGAGAAGCTTTTTGGCAGAATGTGAATCCCTCAAGGACATAAGGCATCGTAATCTTGTGAAACTATTGACGGCTTGTTCGAGTATTGATTTCCAAGGAAACGAATTCAGAGCTCTAATCTATGAGTTCATGCCTAATGGAAGCTTGGATATGTGGCTACATCCAGAGGAAGTCGAAGAGATTCGTAGGCCCTCAAGAAACTTGACACTTCTTGAAAGGCTCAACGTTGCCATAGATGTTGCTTCTGTTTTGGATTATCTTCATGTTCATTGTCATGAATCTATAGCTCATTGCGATCTTAAACCAAGTAACGTCCTCCTTGACGATGATCTAACGGCCCATGTTAGTGACTTCGGTCTTGCTCGGCTTCTCCTAAAATTCGACCGAGAGTCCTTCCTCAACCAACTCAGCTCCACCGGCGTCACAGGAACCGTCGGCTATGTCGCACCCGGTAAACTGTCACACATCTATAATGTTTTACCTAGAAGATTAATGTTATTTTTTTCATATACAATCTTGTTTCTATGGATAATGGTGCAGAATATGGAATGGGAGGACAACCATCAATACATGGTGATGTGTATAGCTTTGGGGTTCTCCTCTTGGAAATGTTCACAGGAAAGCGACCAACCAACGAGTTATTTGGGGGAAACTTCACCCTACACAGCTACACCAAGTCGGCGTGGCCGGAAAGAGTCATGGATATTGCTGACAAATCAATTCTTCACAGCGGTCTCAGAGTTGGTTTCCCAATTGATGTATGCTTGACACTGGTTTTGGATGTGGGACTTAGGTGTTGTGAAGAAGGTCCGACAAACCGTTTGGCAACCAGTGAAGCTGCAAAAGAGTTAATCTCGATCAGAGAGAGGTTCTTTAAGGCTAGAAGAACAGCTAGACGTTGAAATGTTAATGGTTTCCTCTACAAACTTTGAAACCTACCTTAAGGCTTATTCTGATGCCTTAAAATTATTGTTTTCATAATGTGTGGTTTTCCTCTTTATGTACCATAATGCTTGCTGAGTATTGTTAATGAGTGTTGTATTATTTATTTGCATACAAAAGATGAATGTTTTGTTGTAAAAATATGCAAGCCAATTCAATGTACCCTAATAATTTCCTTTTGTTCTTGTCAATGACCTCACAAAATGAATCTGCAATTTCCTGCAGTTAGAGCCTAGAGGTGTAACTTGTAACAACTACTTAAAGGTGACGATATGCTTCAGGGTCGTAATTATTCTATAGAAACTCATTTCTTTACAGATTTTCGTCGCACACTTTGATATATTATCTTGTGGTTCTGTTTTAGGATCCCAGCTCTAATAATCTGAAATTCTTGAAACAATTCTTCTTTATTAAAAACACTTTAAGTGTCACATGCTTAACAGAATTACTAGGCACTAAAAACATATCTTTATTCATAAACCGAAGTTTTTTGGGCTCAAAGTGTTTACCTCTATATACAACCAATTTACGTATGAAATGATGCCTAATGCGTAATTTTCTTTTCCTTCAAGTAATCTCCATTTCTCTGTAATCCTTAATTTCCTTTTCTTATGACTATGAAACTTCATGCTTCAACACCTTTTACTCTGACAAAATAAAAGAGCCATGCTCTGTTTGGTGAGATTTGCTAACCTTTTCTAAAGTTCCAAGCTGAGTGTTTATTTCTTCAATATCTTCAGGCTTTAGTCACTATCCCAAATTGCCAATTTGTTTGGTGAATCCTGTGGACGTGCGTGTAAAGACGGAAAGTATCGGAGGATATGTGAGAGTACGGCATGTAGAGGTGGAACGGAGTAATCGTGAACTTTAATTTTCATCAACTTTATGCTTGTGTCCCTGAGTTACGTGAGACTTGGTCTGAAATTTTTGCATTCTTTTACGCACGTTTTGTATCGATGAGGACTATTGGGTGTGTATTAGCTTTTCCAAAGACTAATCATGGGGCCCAAGGAAACCATGTTAAATTGCTCGAACCCCGGTGGCCAATGCTACTCGAACCCACGTGGCGGGAATTACCTCCCTTTACCACTGGACCAAGGCGATTTGGTTGTTTTCTCTATTTCTTTGTTTACCTTGTTAGTTACTCCTTCTCCAATGTTTTAGTTTATAATTATAAGATTTAAGTATCTTTATCTTTTAGCTAGCAGTGTTTTTCTTTGTTTTGTGAACATAATAACACCATGCATAGTTAGTCATTGCAAGCTCAAGCCACAATATTGCAAGCTTAAACAACCTTATTTCCCAGTAAAGCGTTATGAGTCATACCTCTCTTTGTGTCATGATCTGATTGGATGCTGTTAATTAATAAACCATTTGGCAATGATAAAACACGAAGCTTGGTCAATTTCTACCATAGAGTGTATTATGGTATAGACTAAAGTTGACTGACTTAAACGACAGTCACTGTCTTTAAGTCCACACGATTTTGGAAAAAGTCTTGCAGTTTCCTACGTGGTAACTGGTGAGCCATTCCTTTATTTCATTTAAGTTGAATTATGTAAGAAGCTAAAGTCATTATGCATTTTCTTCGTCTCTTATCACTTTCCTGCAAAAAAATTAAAAAGTGAAGCATGAAATTGTTTCTTTTACTTTGTTTCAGGGCTTTCATGTTACTTGAAGCATATAGTTTTACCGACGAAACTGATAGGCAAGCGTTGCTGGCGTTCAAGTCTCAAGTTTCTCAAGGCAAAAGAGATGTCTTGTCCTCATGGAATCACTCTTTTCCTCTGTGTAACTGGAAGGGGGTTACATGTGGCCGCAAACACAAGAGAGTGACCGATCTGGACCTTGGAGGATTGCAATTGGGCGGTGTGATATCGCCATCTATTGGTAATCTTTCGTTTCTTATATCACTTAATCTCTCTGACAACTCTCTTGGTGGTACCATCCCTCAAGAAGTTGGAAACTTGTTTAGGCTTGAATACTTGGATATGAACTCAAATATTCTCGAGGGAGGGATTCCGGCCCGTCTGTCTAACTGCTCTAGATTGTTGTTGCTTAATACTGCTATAAATCCTCTTGGAGGAGCTGTTCCTTCAGAACTATGGTCATTGACGAACCTTCTTGGTTTGTATCTTGGAGAAAACAACTTAAACGGGAAGCTCCATGCATCTATAGGAAACTTGACATCTCTCACAATACTTGACTTTGGAGTTAACAATATGGAAGGAGAAATTCCGGATGATATAGCTAGATTGACTCAAATGATGGGACTTAGTTTAGATATAAACAGATTCTCTGGTGTTTTCCCTCCCCCCATCTACAATTTGTCCTCACTTGAGTATTTATCCATCTTTGGTAACCATTTCTCGGGTTGTCTGAGACCTGATTTTGGTAAGCTGTTACCAAACCTATTTGTGTTAAATCTGGGAAGTAATTATTTTAGAGGAGCCATTCCAACAACACTTGCCAATATCTCGACTCTTCAAAAGCTGGAAATCGATGATAACAATTTGACAAGAAGTATTCCTCTGGTCTTGGGAAAATTATGGAATTTGCAATGGCTATCTCTTTTTAGCAATTCTTTGGGAAGTTACTCTTTTGGAGATCTTGACTTTCTGGTTGCTTTGACTAACTGCACCAAACTAGAAAAATTAGAGATTGGTGATAATAGGCTCGGGGGTGATTTACCTACCTTCATTACGAATCTCTCCACGAACCTCTACAGTTTAGACATTGGAACAAATTTCATCTTTGGAAGCATTCCTCGTGACATTGGGAATCTCATAAGCCTACAAAGCCTTGTGTTGAGGGAAAATATGTTGAGAGGCGCACTCCCAACTTCTCTTAGCATGCTTTTCAGATTGGAGGGATTAAATCTCAATTCAAATAAAATGTCAGGACAAATACCATCTTTTATAGGCAACCTCACTCGGTTGGACAGACTGTTTTTGTTCAACAATAGTTTTGAAGGAACAATTCCTCTGAGTCTTAGTAACTGTACTTCTCTGCGGCAATTATGGATTGCGTCTAATAAGTTGAATGGGACTATACCTGGGGAAATTATGCAAATTAAGTCCCTTGTTTTTCTAGACATGTCAGATAATTCCTTGACAGGCTCTCTACCAGAAGATGTAGGACGACTTGAAGCTCTTGTCTATCTATCTGTTGCGTATAATAAACTATCTGGACATCTCCCACATTCCTTGGGAAATTGTCTCTCGATGGAAACACTTTTGTTGCAAGGAAACTATTTTGATGGAGCCATTCCGGATATAAAAGGGTTAAAAGGTGTTCAAAGAGTTGATTTCTCAAACAATAATCTCTCAGGGAGTATACCTGCATATTTTGCAAACTTTTCCTCGTTGGAATATCTTAATCTATCCATCAACAACTTCGAGGGAAGTGCACCAACAGATGGAATATTTCAGAATGCTACAATAGTTTCAGTATTTGGAAACAAAAATCTCTGTGGAGACATCAAGGAATTGAAACTAAAGCCATGCTTAAGGGGAGCTCCACCGATGGGATCAAAGCATTCTACTCGTTTAAAAAGAGTTGTGATCGGAGTAAGCATAGGCATGGCTTTGCTTTTGCTGCTTCTCGTAGCTTTGGTTTCTCTATGTTGGTTAAGAAAAAGAAAGAAGAACAATCAGACTAATAATCCAACTCCTTCCACATTGGATGTCTTTCATGAGAAGATAAGTTATGGAGAGATCCGAAACGCTACTGATGGCTTCTCTTCGAGCAATATGATTGGGTCAGGAAGTTTTGGTACCGTGTTTAAAGCTGTGCTCCCTGCGGAGAACAAGGTTGTTGCAGTGAAAGTTCTAAACATGCAAAGACGTGGAGCAATGAGAAGCTTTTTGGCAGAATGTGAATCCCTCAAGGACATAAGGCACCGTAATCTTGTGAAACTATTGACGGCTTGTTCAAGTACTGATTTCCAAGGAAATGAATTCAGAGCTCTCATCTATGACTTTATGCCTAATGGAAGCTTGGATACATGGCTGCACCCAGAGGAAGTGGAAGAGATTCGTAGGCCTTCAAGAACCTTGACACTTCTTGAAAGGCTCAACATTGCCATAGACGTCTCCTCTGTTTTGGATTATCTTCATGTTCATTGTCATGAACCTATAGCCCATTGTGATTTGAAGCCAAGCAACATCCTTCTAGACGATGATCTAACGGCCCATGTTAGCGACTTTGGTCTGGCCCGGCTTCTCCTAAAATTCGACCAAGAGTCCTTCCTCAACCAACTCAGCTCCACCGGCGTCAGAGGAACCGTCGGCTATGCCGCACCAGGTAAAACTGCCACACATCTATAATGTTTTACGTAGAAGATTCATATGTTATTTTTTTCATATACAATCTTGTTTCTATGGATAATGGTGCAGAATATGGAATGGGAGGACAGCCATCAATACATGGTGATGTGTATAGCTTTGGGGTTCTCCTTTTGGAAATGTTCACAGGAAAGCGACCAACCAACGAGTTATTTGGGGGAAACTTCACCCTCCACAGCTACACCAAGTCGGCGTTGCCGGAAAGAGTCATGGATATTGCTGACAACTCCATTCTTCACAGCGGTCTCAGAGTCGGTTTCCCTATTGTTGAGTGCTTAACATCAGTTTTGGAGGTGGGACTTAGGTGCAGTGAAGAATATCCGGCGAACCGGTTGGCAATGAGTGGAGCTGCAAAGGAGTTAATCTCGATCAGAGAGAGGTTTTTTAAAACCAGAAGAACAGCTAGACGTTGAAGTGTTTACGATCTCTCTACAAACTTTTAAAACCTACCTAAAGGCTAATTCTGAGGCCTCAAAAACATCAATGTTTTCATAATGTGTGGTTTTCCTCTTTATGTACCATAATGCTTGCGGATTATTGTTGATGAATGATTGTGTTATTTGCATACAAATGTTGTGACATTGTTACCTTTGCTACAGAGGACTCAACCTAACAGACCAAAACTTTTAAACGAACAAAGACATATTGGTACACTACAGGTAAAAGAAAACACTAACCAATAAATATCAAATTTCAGAATGATTGTGGAATTGATCTTTTTACTACGGAGAAAGAAATTCATAAATAATGAAGCATATCGAAGACACAGAACCGAAACCAATAATATTAAGAAAACACTTATCCACTCTATATACGAAGATAAATCAAGCAGACGAGCACAAACCCCCAAAAAAAGAAGAAATTTCAAGCTCATCTGCCATAATAAGCGAAACGAGGAGGATACAATTTTCGCTCAGATTCATTATGTCAAAGAATGTGGAAGTTAAATTTGGGAAGGGGCTTGAAATCCGAGGGTCCAGCTACTGCCACTCACGGCATTGACCACAGCTCCAGCTACTTCCGGGTAACGCTGATGGATCTTCCTCCCATGGAGAACAGTGAGAATGTATTAGCAATCCACAAACCGTGCACAAAAGATCAGGCGCTGGATCCATTTGCGAACATCTCTGACATGGACCCATATCTTCACACTCTTCTTCTTCTGTTGGTTCGAAGTGAGGGTTTCCTGAAACAATCTTATCGCCATTTATCTCGTACTGACCACCACCACTATCATCGGCTGTCAGTAGCTCGGTCAACGAGAAATAAGTTTGTGGTTCAAATTCCATGTCCTCGTAGTCGAATAGTAGCTCACCAGACGAATCCCATTCTGTTAGAACAGGTAAAGCTTGCTCCTCTGCCTCGGGTTTCACAATAGGCTGCAGTTCAGGATAGCCTGCATTAGAATCTTCTCGTTTCACTTGCCTTCTAACCGGTAGCTTTTGGGATCCAGGCGCAAAAGCAGCGGTGCTCCATTCAAGATCGAAACTACTGGGTGTTATTTGTTCGACTTTGGAAACTGAGACCAGGAGAGGATCATCCTCTGGAATAAATACGTCTTCAGGAGGATATAAAGGAGTGACAGGTAAGGGAGTAGAAGGTTTCGAGTCTTTTTGTTCAGACATTCTTTCAGAATCAGAATCCAACCCGGAATTTCCTTGCCTCTGTTTCTGGTTCTTGAAGACTATTCTTTTGATCTGCTTCTGTTCCATGAGTTTGGGATCCATGTAAGGGCAATCAGGGGATCGTATACGTCGACATTTGCAACATTTGAACCCAACAACTTCAGGAATTTGTGAATCCTGGAGCTTAACAGCTTCAGTGTGGAACCACTCTGCATTTGAGATTCAGATATTAGATATATAACAATGGAGGCATTCAAGAAATTAAACTTTGAAACAGTTGTCGTTTGAATGATCTCCTTACTTTCACATTTTGTACAGTGAATATACGTTAAACCAGGATTGTACGGCTGTAGGCAGATCCCACAAACCGGTTCCAGACCCGATTGATCTGATCTTCCAGCCAAGAGAATGTTTTGATTCCTGAAATCAACACCAGTGTCCTCCACGTTCTTTTTCCTCCATATGACTCCACAGGACAGTGTCTTTTGTTTACTCTTGGATTTCACAGTAGATTCAGGAGTGATTTTTTTAACTCCCGAAGTGTTCTCCCGTGGTTTCTGGGATGGTAATTGTTGACTAGGAGGCTTGATCTTGATGACTGGAGTGACTGCATTTTGAGGTCGTCCGTTGATCTGTTGACTAGGAGGCTTAATCTTGATGACTGGAGTGACTGCATTTTGATGTCGTCCGTTGATCGTGAGCTGGGGTGTTGTCGATTGTCTGTGATTGATATTTGCTGGAACTCGATTTTTTGCAAGGTAACACCGTTTGCAGGTGACCAGAACTTCAACTTTTCCATTTGTGTGTTGTGACATCCAAGTGCACTCCTTGTGACAAAATCCTGAATAAAGAAACAAGACATGACGATCCAACGCTGATGCACAAACATACTGATATATACTACGACAGAAATTTACAGTCCCAAAGCTTGTCAAACATGTGATTAATCCTTTATTTTTCTTCTAAACTCTATTAGAGGAGCAGTGAAATTAATCCTTCAGGTTAGCAAATGAGATACTACAATAGAAAAGGATAACGCAGGGCTGCATTCCCAATCCATTTGGTGATTCGTTTACCAGTAATTTGCAACTTTCGACCCAGAAGAGCTCAGAACGAATATCATACTTTCTAGTATCACACAAAATGCAAAAATTGAAACAGTAAGAGGATGGTATTGTACCTTGGCAAGAACTGCACGTTGTTGTATCCCTGTCGACATGTCGAGCAAAGAAAAAGTTAATAAAGTAGACAATAAAGTAAAACAGGCACCTCAAAAGGTAAAGAAACCAAAGGATTACCGCAATAGAACATCATGATCACATGATGCACAAGAACATTTCTCCATCTTGTCCCTCCTTGAGGCTATATATGAAAATATGTCCATGCGGGAAGCTTTCAGCTGCTTTCTCTGAAGCTTTGATAATTTATTGGACGGCTTCTTGGTTGAAGAAGGCATTTGTACTCTATGCAAACTCTCTTCAAATTCTTTGATCAAATATAGGGGGACACGGGCTTCTTGGAACCAATACTTTTCATTTCCTTGAATTTTCTCGACCTCAATTACATTCTTCATGACGCGTGATGGCAGATGCTTTTGATTTCCAAAGAAAACTCCGTAGCTAACCTTGTTATCACTAAGCTTTTTGTCACATATACGAGCATTTCTAAAAATGGCAACATCTGTCTCTGGGCCTTTGACATCCTGGAGATTTTGCTCTGGCCGTACAAGTTCACTCCACCTTAAATTCATATCTAGATATCTTACCTGACACAAACGTTTGACTGGGTCTCAGAAATACAGTAAATATACCTATAAAAACTAACTATAATCATAGAACATAGCACAAACCTGAAGAGCGAGCTGAGATATGTTCTTGCTACTTTCAACAGCAGCTTTCCAAATAGACCGTCTGCTTCTCCTAGGGATGTAAGAAGCATCACCATAATTAAATCCAGGAATCTTTTGAGAACCCCCTAATAAGAAACAAAAAAATAATTAGTGTATCCGGAAAACCAGTTAGTGGCACGGAATAGGATTTCTAGAGTGCTAGCATATAAAGGGATTAGAAAACCAAAATAAACTCCCCACATGCTTATGAATGAGAAAAATAGGTACAATTAGTCGCACATAAGACATAAATAAACAAGTAATAGTATACCTTGCCAAGCTGCTTTCCTTATTGCCGGTTGTGACAAAACTGCTTTCAATAAAATAACTTTTGATAACTTCCCTCCTCGCCACCATGTAAAGCTATCATCGTCGGAACCTTCAGCTGTAACTTCAGCCTGGGTCCTTTGCTTCCTCCTACCAGGTCCACGTTTCTGTGTAACCCCAACAGTAACTGGAGCACTTTGGAAAATAGAATGTTCTACCAACCAGTCATCCATCAGTTTAAACCACTCGCTTGACAGAGCAATACTGCAAATATTTTCCTCAAGCTGCAACCAAGATAAACAAACCACATATCGGAGATGAGAACAAGATAGATTAGATGCAACAACAAAACAAATACGATTCGTATATCACACTATACTGTAGACTATCAAAGTGTAGTCTAGAGAGAAATAGACCAGGAGTGTTCCATTGTTTTAAGAAACAAAAAAAAAAGAGTACATAAGATTGGAAATTTTGTTTAGCGTTTCAGCCAAGAAACTTATTATAAAGAAGTACTCACTTCAAGTAGGAGTGCTTTTAGGGCTTTGCATGTTGAGGCTTCCTCTACCTGCTTACGCCACTGTTTTCTGGGACTTTCACTGAGAAATGGGCCAGCAATCAGACCACGCAAGCTTTCCTCTAGGTATAGAATATATGCTGCAATACTTGAAAGCACTCCCTCCCCATTCTTTAGAGGAAAAAGACCACTGAAGATCTTCATTGCACCCTTAGTGGCACCCGTTACAGCTGCATTTAACATGCAACCTCTCCTGCTTGCAGATGTGAGTTTGCAAGAATGACACCAACCACATCTTTCCCTGGTAATCTCCTTCTTATCAGGACTTGGCCAGAAGAAACGTGAGGCTACTAATGAAAATGCTTTCATCTGCACTAAGATGTTACTTGATGCAGCTTTCCTGGCACTATTGTACTTGCGAAGGTCAGGTTCATGGGTTTCCTCTGACGATAGGACAGCCAAACTGGCAGCAGCAGATACAGCCAATTCTCCATTTGTGTAATGATTGTTGTATGCGTGGGGTTTAAACGATAAACCCAAGTAGGTAACCCCAGTAGCCAATTTCTTCCCCTGTATTCCACTTGAACCTCCTGTAACAGCATTGTCGATATTACCCAAAGAAGATGGCGGGAGGTCAAACACAGTTTGGGTATGATTTCTACTGGAAATATTTTCACTATCTGACTTAGTCATCTCTGTAACCTTGCCATCCTCTCTATCCTTTGCTTGAGCTAAACCAGTCTCCCCTTCTCTCAAGGAGATCATACCTCCAGGAAGATCCCAGTATTGGGTGATCGCTTTGCAAATCTCTAGATATTCTAGTGTATGGTTTGATGCAGATAAAAGCACTAGTACAACTTTTGATATGTCATGGACACTGTAGTACTTGATAACTGCATCTCCATTAACAGATATGTTAAGCCTGTGATGTAAAATGAAAGAAGGAGAATGCTCATCAGTGTCATAGCAAGCAAATTCAAGCGTTCCAAATTAATGCTGGCAAAAACCTGTTAGCAACTATTTGCCTAGGAAGTAGTGAATCTTAAACTAGTAAGATCATAAATTGAAAAATCAGGTTACTAACTCCAATAACTGCAAAAAAATATGTATGATTGAAGGCATCGAAAACATACACCAGTAAGTGATTGCAAGTACCCAAGAAGAGTCGCCCATGTGGATCCATTCCAAACTGTACAGCTCCTCTAAGTGAGGTTCCATGAGCAATCTTCGGCCCCTTTTTGTTAATAGTGCACTCTAGACAAAACCATGGCCCGTCTGGTATATACATTTTGACCACACCAATACATCTTGAGTGATATGCTAAAGGACATCCATCACAACAAAGCAAGGTTCCATCCATTCCACAAATCCTACATTCGTCGCTGTTTCCATCTAGATCTGAGCTAACTTCATTTGAACCGCCTTCAGTACATCTTGAATCCAAATCTTTAGACTCGTTTGTTGAGCTATCAATAACCCCTTTATCCTTGAAAGCTGAGGTTTTAGCGAATCTGGGGTGGACCCGTCTAGGTACATTTTCAGGAAGACCTGTGGCAACTCTATCAGGATCAAATCCAATTTCAGATTCTTCGCGAGCATCTATTTCGTCTCTTAGATCTGCTACATCAAATATGTCATCACAGAGAATTTGTAGGATCTTCAATTTCATCCCAATGGGTAAGGAGTAGTACTCCTTTTCCACAACAAATTTATTAAAAATGTTCCACTGAGGCCCACTAGCATGCCCCATCGCAGTAAAGTACTGAACCAAATAAACAGGCCAAGTTAGCACATCAAGCAAGCTCCAATCAATGCACCTACAGATGGCAAAGCAACAAAATCTGTGAAATGCTATCAGCTAAAGAGGTAGGGCATCATAAAATAAGCTCTTTCGACCATTTGCACTGCCAGAATAGGCTAATTTTGCAATCCCTCTATAGCCACAGCCAATAACTTTTCCTACTAACAGCTATTTAAGGTTTGCATGACTACTCATTAAATCATAAACCCAATTCTTATGCTTGAAGGGAAATAACTAATTCAACATCGTCTTCAATAACGACATGCAAATACCTAGATTCCTTGTACTTCAGAAACCTAATCTGCTACTTTGTAATATGATTTATACGCTATGAAACCAGAAAAGGCTCAAGAAATGAGAATCTATGCTATGAACATCCGGAAAGCAAAACAGAAACTTCCAAAATAAAATTAATCTGCACTTACCTCAAGCATTTTGAAGCCAGGACAGACTCATCTGAGGAAAGTCTCTCAAGATGACCCTTCAACGCCCGCATCAAGGCCACATGAACAGCATCCAACAAAGAATTTGGTCCCGGGAAATTCAACGCTCCCACAAAATCATTGAGTTCAAATGGGCAGATATATAGCTGAAAACTAAATGACCTTAAGAACCCATATACAGATAAGAGATGTGCCACAGCCTCCTCTGGAATACCAATTGTCCCAGATGAAGGAGGTAAATCCACCGGTAGAACAATAGGAGCCTCAGTGTCAAGATCTGAACCTCTCTTATCTTCACTCTCAGACAAATCTGAGTCACTATATGAATCACCACCTTCAACTTCTGCTTGAGAATTTGATTTCGTAACTGCTGGTGCCTGCTCTCCATTTACTTGATTTGGCAACTCAACCGCTTTGTTCTCCGGGGAATTTCTTTTCTTTTTCTCCTCCTTCAGTATAAGTTTATCTAATTTATTCCTTCTAACACGTAACTCATCGTCCAAGTAACTATCCGCAATAATTAAACGACGAAGATCACCACTCTCCAATTCCTCAGAATCACCATCCTCATATATCACTCTATATAACCCAGTATCATAAGACACTATCTTCCCTAGAAAAACTCCATTATCATCAAAATCTTTCAGCACATAACAACCAAGTAAAGATATCGGCACTGCAGGCTCAACCTCCAAAACCTGTTTCTTCCCTCGATTGTTCGATTTTCGATTCTCATCCTCTAATCTCTGACGTTTCCTCGGTCTTCCCCTAGGTCTAGGAACCTTTGCTTCCATCAAAAACAACCCTAAACTAGATATTCCAAATCAACTCCTTAAATCTGAATCTATCTACGCTTCCCAAAATCTTACCCTTTCACCATAAAATCGAATCACAAAACCACCAAAATCACAACCGAATCTAAGATCTACTAAAATCCAACACACCGGAGATGAATCTAAGAACCGTGAACCATTTACAAAGACCTGGTGAAGCAAGCAATGAAACTCAAATCCTTTGCGATTTTTTTTTTGCTCTAACAAGTGATTCAGATTGATACAGAGAGGGAAGGGTAATAGATACGATAAGATTGAAGAAAACTTGCTAAAATAGAAAAACCGCCATTGATGAAGAAGTTCGAGAAGTACAGAGAGAGGAAGATGAGCCCTAATCGTGTCGAGAAAGATAAAACGAACCTCTACGACACAATGGCAAAAGATTATTGTGATTTACGAAGAAAGCGAGTTCGACTCGGCTATCGGGTTATTGGGCCGTGACCCGTTTGGTATCCGTTTTTAATTTAAATCATATTAAAAAAAAAAAAAAAGAATATCTACTTTTTTTTCCGAACACATATATGCACGAGAGGAGAGGTATGTTCTGGTACAGGCACGCTCGCACGTGTTCACTTGCATTCTACAACGTGCGCATGATGTGTCAAAATCTTTGGGTTCAGATTAAATTACGAGATATTAGTGAAAGTTTACAAAATAAATTACCAGATATTGAAAATAGATACTTTGAAAAAAAAAACAGAGTAACCACTAATTTGAAAAACAAAACCATAATAACCAATAATAAAAATAAAATTTTACACAACCTTTTTGGTGATATCATCAAGAATATTTTAATTTCAAAATTAACTAGTAAAAATCTTATCTAATTTATCAATACCAAATCAAGTGCATGTATATTCAACAGGTTTTCTCTAGCTAGAAAAAAAACTTGTAAATATAGAAATATCATTCTAACATATCGTATATTCACAAATATATAACTAGGATATATTTTCGTAGCATCATTCACCAATCTCGGCAAGCAAAACAAGAGAATGAGGATGGTGGGAATGCAAAATATACAGTGTGAATTTTTTTTAGGTAGTCATGAATTAAAAGATGTCACATGAAAGTTGGAAAGGATGAGGCCTAGGTATTCGGAATTTGGTTCAATTCTCACTCATTATCAAGAAAATCACCAAAAAATCTATATAAACGGTAAATTTTCAAAATTTATTTATAGTTTAGAACATGTTTTAAAAATTTATTCTTTTTCTAATTTTGAGATTTTTCATAAGACAAATCAAAGTGATATTTTTAGATCACAAAATAATCGAATAAAGCTCTATTAGACAAACCTCATTTTTCTGTATATCTAGATAGAAAATCACTTTTAAAATCAACTAAATAAATTGGATTTGAAACTTTTATGGCATAATTTTCTCTTAGACTCATATTGGTCATGTTTGTTTATGCCTTTGAATGCATCATTTATCTTCGAATGGACGAGATATGTTAATGTTCATTTGATTGATTTGTTTTTTATTTTTCATTTGGATGCAATGCATATACAAAAGTATAGAGTGTAAATGTAAATTTTGTACAAGATTCAATTTTGACTAGTATCACAATAACTTAAAAGCTAAAACACAAATAAATCATCTTTGGGCATATGCACATGGGCTTGTGTGGATTTTCGCTACAACCCACATATGAATCTTCTGTCCAACGACCAATTCCAATGGATAACTGTGTACGAAGTTCTCATAAACCAGTTTACAGTCTTTATTGCTATCGCAAGATTAGAATTATCTCGAGCAGCTCATAGTTTCATCTCTTTGTTCCAATCTCATTGAAACTTTCTGGTTATTTTGTACCATAGACATACTAATCAAGAGCAAGTTAATTATAGTCTTAACGTCGATAAAGCGTTAATGATGTGGGTTCTCAATCCTTATACAAAATAGTGATGTTTTTCTTTCACACTATTTTGTTGGAAAAGAAAAATAACAAATAAATATATCATCTTGCCAAGAAATGTACAAAATATTGAAAAATATTGTTTTATACAAGATTTTCATTATACCGGTACAATTGAGTTTTCATTATAAGTACAGACAAACCTCTATAAATTAATAATGTTGGGACAAAAAAAATTTATTAGTTTAGAGAGGTATTAGTTTATCGATAAATTAGTAATTATTAATTTATAAAGAGATTTTACTAAATTTGTAATTTCTTAAAAAAATTTCTATTTAAAAATAAATTTTTTCTTTACAAACAATATCTTATAAAAACTAATTACAAGTAGAAAAAAAACTATTAAGTTTAAGAAATAACACAAAAAAGTTTCTAATAATGGAGTCATATTTCATCAAATTTTTTGCATATAATATTTTAAATATATATCATAGTAATTCATATATAACATATATAAATTTATATAATGTATATATATATATATATATATATTGATAAGTTAATACAATTATTAATTTATGATATAGAAGGGACCATATGTTTACATGAGATTTTCAAAAAAATTATTATCTTATTAATTTATCAATCTATGTCATATTTTACACTGGTCCCAACTCGGCACCGGAAGAATTTATTAATTTATAAAGGTTTTTAATTTATAGAGTATTAATTTATAGAGGTTTTACTGTATACTAGAATTTAACCCGCGGTATACCACGGGCTATATTTTTTTTAAAAAATGTAATGTTATTTTTTAAAAGATTAACTGAAGATATATCATATTAATTTGTATTTTTAAATGTAGATATCTATCTATCAATTTTTGAAGTATAGATACGAAAACATACATTTTTTTTTAAGTAACGATGTATGGTGGATTTTAAAATTTTGAATATTTTACTCTGCAGTATACCGTGGGTCGGTTTTTTTATAACTAAAATTTTTTAAATTTAAGTTAGATTTGTTTTGTTAATATTGTTTCTTTTGTTTTGTGTTTAAGATTGTATAATTGTATTTTGATTGTTAATTTTAAGATTTCATCCGTGATATACCGTTATTTATTAATATCGACCCAAACCCGTCATCCTATATAAACCCGTCTATATTATCTCGTTAGCTAAATTATTAGTATTATAAAATCCAGGAAAATAAATTATTATTGTTATAAAATCTAATAATTTTAGGATCTCACCCGTAGTATACCGTTCTTTGAACGATTTTAAATTTATACTACTAATATATATTTTAAATTTATCATATAAAGTATATGATTTCAAGTTTTTGTGTTTTTTTTATTTAAATAAAGCAACGGCTTAAATGATATGATAGATATAGTTTTTTTTTCATGTATGTGTATTTGATTTTTCTATGTGAATATTTTGATTATTATAAATTAGTATTTTTATTGCTATGCAAAATGTTAATATAAATATTTGCTATAAATTTTTTTGAAGATATATGGAAAGATTGTGTAGAGATTTTTAGAAACAAATTTTTTTTGGTAAGAATTTTTAGAAACAAATTAGGCAAGATATTGTTTGGTTAATATCTTTTATTTAAATTTTGTAAAAGTAATAATAAATGCCAATGGCATTCTTTGTAAATACTGCCCAACCCCATGATTTATTTGCTAAAAGTGTTCCAAAAATGTATATATAGATACACATTGAACCATCTAAAAGTTATTGAAAAATGTCATCCAAAATTTGATGTAATAATATAACAGAAGACAAATTTTTGTTCTGGTTAGAACGAAAACACTACTCTCAACATTATAAGGTAATCAGAAAAGTGATATAAAGGGTTGAATAAAAAAATTATCTTCAAAGTGTTACATAGTAGATTAAGATTTGTGGAAATTCTTTTGACAATAATCTATAAAGATTTAGAAATAATTAGAATATGGACACACCTTATTAATCAAAAACATGTCAAGATATATATAAGAGTTTTCTATCCCAAAAAAAAAGATATATATAAGAGTCGTCATACAAAATTATGAAAACGGAACAACTTTTGTTATGAAAAATTACATTGGAAATACTTATCAACAAAAACCAATTAAAACTATATTTTGATAGAAATAATATGCCGGAAGCGCCAAATGTTTTACGCAATTAGAAACGACCGTTAGGAAACAAACGAGACCAACGAGAATTCAAAGTTCAAAGTTGAATTAAATAGATGTGATTATAAAACATTACTCGTTTTAGTATATAAACGAAATGGTGTGGGCGAGTGAACTCGGTATCCGGGTCGGGTTAAACCTCTATCGGCCGTTTCCATACGCTTGTGGTTGTGTTCTTTTTTTAAGAGTGAAAAAAAAAAAAAAAAGCTTTTCCTTTTGGAGAAAATAATAGAAGCAAGTGGCGGGAGACAATTCCCTAATGTACCCGCCAATAGGAATTAGTATTCCAACAAAAGCATTTTGCTAGATTTGGGCCAATGTCACTTAAATCATTTGGTTGGACTCAAAGTAAGATGTAGAATCCTATATAATTCAAAAGAAAACGAGAGATTTAATTTTTCAAAGAAATAATATCGACACATGCACGGTCTACAAGAAAATATTAAGAAATGCAGCAAAGTTTTGGTTTGTTTTTGTATTTTGATGATGTATAGCTTCGTAGTTCAAATCTTAGCTTGTTTTTCGAAAATCAGCTTTTTCAACTTAGATGCATAACTCAAATGTAAATTTTGCTTAATTTTCTAATCAGGTTTGAATTTGATATAATAAAAAAAATGGTGCGCTTTTATGTTAAATTTTCTTTTTTTTAATAAACTCTCATAGTCATTTCTTCTATATTTTTTTCAGAAACAATCTTCTATATTTATTTCTTTTAATGAATGTTATAATATATTTCGACAATATAAAATAGGGAAAATTAGGGCCAGTACCACTTTTTTCCAAAAGTTTAGGCCCAATACCACTTTTCCTTTCTGCTTAGCATCCATACCACATTCATGTTTTGAAAAGTCGATTTTGCCCTCCAACCGGCGACAAGCCCCTGCGGTTGATGGGACTCTCCGACTTTCCTGCCGAATGCTCTCTCTCTCCTGACGCATTGGTAACCGTCTTCGTCTCTCTCTCCCTGCCTAATTTATTAAACCACAACTAATCATTATTCCTTCTAAATCGTCACTCTTCTCCATTTTCCCTCTCTCTCTTTTCAACTTTCTCTCTGCAACTCTCTCTCTCTTCAACATTTATATCTACCATCGGAATAGATAAACAGGTACTTCCTTTCTTCCCCGATTTTCTGTCACTCTTGCATGTTACTATATATACAGTGTCAATCAGCATCATACTTTATTGGTCCCCACTGCTGTTTAATTTTTGTCCTCAGATCAGTCATGGTAGCTTACATGTTCCGCCGATTGTTGTCCCTATGTTCTTACTTGTTTTTTTACTT